TACAGTGGGGCCTTGACTTACGAGTGTCCCGACTAACGAGTTTTTCGAGATACGAGCCGTCTCTCGGCCGATTTTTTGCTTTGAGTTGCGAGCTAAAATTTGGGTTACGAGCCAGCTTCAGATACCCCACCGCTAGTTGGCGCAGCGAACGTCACAGTGAACGCCACAACATCAGCCCAGCATCACGTGTCTCACTCGTTCACTTTATGATTTGACATACGAGTAATTTGAGTTACGAGCTCCGTCATGGAACGAATTAAACTCGTAAGTCAAGACCCCACTGTACCCTAACGTTTTCTGGGATCCCTGAGATGTCGCAGGTTCCCCTTCCCTGCCTGCCTTCCTCCACACTCCCTGCCCTGGGAAATCCACTCAGGAGATCAGGAGGGTTAGCCCCTAGTCAGCCTGGCTGTGGGGCCCCTGAGACCTTATGTCCTTGTCCTTCTAGCTGGCTCCTCCCTGTTCCTCAAAACGAGCTCTAGTTCTGCTGAGTCCACCCCCCCCCCAGTTTGTTTGAGACCCCACGCATATCCCAGCCTTCAGCCAGATGCCCTCCAAGAGGGCATTCAGCCACCAACTCCTGCCCCTCAAGGCTCTATGCTGTCTACTCCCAACTCTCCCACCTGATTCCTCTGCTCTGCCTGCTGCTGGGAAGCCCTAGGTAATCTTGTCTTGTCAGCACCGATCTGAACTGCGCTCGTCACTGTTCCCAACACTGCAGACGCCCAGCTCTGTGGGATAAATGCATCCTTCCACCCACCCTCATGTCCCCAGGACGCCTGGTCCAGCTCCTTGCCCCACTTGTATCCCACACCTCACACCTCACCTACAGTTTTTCTTTAGCCTCGGAGAAGCACAGAGACAGCTACCCCCTCCCCCGCCCCCAGGCCACCTGCTCTGATTCTCTCCTAGGTTCCCGCACCTCGGCGAGGCCCAGGACAAGGTGGTGCCTGCTACAGACCCTGATCAACAACCCCAGGCTGGTCATGCTCAGAAAGTCAAAACCAGACCACGGCTCCCAGGAGTTCACCCAGATCCTGCTGACGGGCTCAGAGAGCTGACATGGCCTCCGGCACCGCTCCTCGCCACGCCCGGATGACTGCTGCCGAGACGAGGCCCCGGCTACCCAGCAGCTGCCCCCCAGAGTGATGGCACGCCCAGCCACTGTCCACATAGATGGCTCATGGCACTGGCCCCTCAGGATATCATCTGGGCTGAACGATGAAGGCTCAGGTCTAATTCACTCCTCTAGTAAAAAGAACAAGCACGAAAGAGAAACTCTGTTGAACAAACTCTGTCCAGTCATGATTTCTCCTCCCCATGGTTGGGAGACAGCCTTGGGGAGTTCCGTGTTGAGACGCACTTAGTGTGACCACAGGGCAGAACTTTGTGTCACTGAGGAAGGTGGTAAAATTTCCGTATCAGGATAGTTTAACCGTCTGATCGTTTTTCTCTGGGAGAAAGTACGGTCTTAATTCAACAGGTCCCTCATTGCTTCCTCCTTTCCAGGCCTTACCGTGGTGAGAGAAAAGGAAACCCGTGTTCCATCCTCCCATCTGGTAGGGGGAGCAGGCACACACTGAGCTCTCCCTGCCGGAACAACTGGGCCTTGGTCACAGAGATGTACACGTTCTCTCTGGCAAGGGGGATCCCCTGGGAAAGCCCCCTTCCTGGGGAGGCAGAGGTGGGCGTGCAGGCATTCTAGGTGGGGGACGATAAGAGCAAAGCTGTGGGAGCAGGAAATGTCCAGGCGCGTTTGAGGAGGATGAGCCCTCCGGTGCGTGCAGTGCAGGGCGTTAGACCCTCCAGGGAGGCCCAGACGCCACGCTGGAAGCCTGGACATTCCTCTCTGTGCAGAGGGCCTGGGACTTACCCAGATCCTTCCCACCCAGGCACGAGGTCTCTGATGGCCCGGGGTCTGTACAAAGTCTGACCATTCACAGTGCAAGTGCCAGGAACTCCCAACAGGGTGAGGGAGGTCCCTGTCCACCTGCCAGAGCCATTGAACTTCAGGAATCATTACCGAGCACCCATTGTGAACCCAGTCCCGTTGCTAGGTGTTTGCCGGACTTATCTCCTAACTTAATCCCCACAACCGAGCTTTGTCATTCTGCTTTTAGAAGCTGGGAAAACGGACACTCGGGCTGCTGGGATCCCCACATCATCGCTTCGTAGCCGTGTGGCGTTGGCTAAATTACATTGCCTTTCTGTGCTTCCTTTTCCTCACATAGAAAAGGGCTAATACCTACAACACCCAAAATTATTTGGGGGATGAAATGAGTTAATACAAACACTCCTAAGTTAATGCCTGATTTACCCTCAACTCTCAATAAATACCTGTCACGTTATACTTGGTGGTGATCTGATTAACGTCTGCCCGCCTCAGGATGCGCAGCTCCGTGAAGAAGGGGCCGGCCGTGGTCTCCCCTGAGGTAGTTGCCTAGCGGATTACTACTGACCCTCCTCAGGATCTGCACCCACCAGCTCTATCTGCTTCTAGGCCTGTTGGTAGACCTGCTCCCAGAAGTCACCTTGACGAGTGAGGGGGAGTGTGAGGGTCTTTCCATGGCCAAGTACATGGACCCTAATCCTGGCAGAGCAGAGCTCATCTATCAGGTCCCAGCCAGGTCTCAGCCACGATGTCCCCGAGAGAGAGGCTGGGGCCTCTAGGGGATTTCTAGGATGTGCAGGGCGGCTGGACATCTTAGTTCACAGGTAGCTACATGCTCATGGAACGAGGCCCCGCTGTCATCTTTCCCCTGGCTGTGAAACAAGCAGGAAAGGGAATTCGGAGATCATGGACAAGGATCTCCGGGGATTCAAATCTAGATAAAGGCTGATCATTGGGTCCTTAGAGGGGGGACTCAGGAGGGAAAGTCCTGCCTGCCCTTAGTTCATTTGCAAATTATCTTCCTCTGGCCTTGTCCCTTCCACACGCAGTGTTCAATCTCTTTACATTTCTTTCCCTACTTAGTGCTGATGCAATTCCCGAGACTGGACTAGAAAACCACAAGTTCCTAATATTTGGCCCAGAGAAACCTCAGCAAGAGACGAAGAACGTGTTCCCTCTTCCTTCAGAGTTGTAGAAAAGAAGCCACTGTCCTGGGACAGGACATAGTCCAGGCAAGTGTTATTTTTAAAGATGCCCCCGTGTCAGTGGTTGTTGCTATGCCTGTAAAGAATTTCAACCTCTGAATCCCAGGAGTTCTGAGGAGCTGTGTCTGCTCCTTATTCATGATAATGAAATGTGTTCTCTGAGGAAGGGGGCCCGGAGGGTCTCCTTCATAGCCAGGGAAGGGGCTGGCCCTTCTCCCTTCTCCCATATACAATACACTAATGGCCCTGCGAGATATTTTAGTTAGAGGAGGAATGTGAGAATCTGAACTAATTTAAATTAGCACAGGAAGCTAAAGAACCAAACCTCAGCTCTCAGCTGTAAAAGAAAATGGATTTTAATAATGTTGAGAACAGCACTCTAGTAAGGAATTCTGCCAGTCTGAGGAGAAAACCCTATTGCTAAACCTAGAAGGCTCCCTTGCCAGGGTGCTGTTCTCAGAATGTCCACAAGAGGGCGTGATGGCAACACCTCCCAGCAAGGAGGAGAGCCCTCTAGGACTGTCAATTGGGTGTTCTTTTCTGGCTGGATAGAAGAAAGGGATTACCTTGGGGGGCATCCCCCAGGCTCATGGCCCACCTTCACCACCCTGTCCCCACTCATTCTGATTCAGGCACTGTGCTGAGTGCTTGATCAGTCAGTACCCCATGTGTCCCTGCCATGTGAGCGATCATTTAGCATCACCCATTTCACAGAGGAGAAAACTGAGTCCTAGAAAGTGGAGGTGGCCCAACTCGGGCACAGGATTGGTCAGTAGCTGGGGCCTGACTCCTCAAGACCACACTTGGCCCAAAGCTTTACGGAGCCCTTGGGGTTCAGCCACTGTCAGCCTGGACACTCACCCCTGAGCTCACTGGTGGCCAGTTCCTCTGAGCCTTGAGTGTTCCATTGGCCGATTAGGACTGGGGCTGCAGCTGGCAGGACAGGGTGTAGCTACAGGACGGAGCAGTACCTGTGCCACACCTCAGGTGTTCCTCCCAGTGTCGGCCCAGTAGCTGGAGTCCAGGTGCCCCAGGGTGGCCTTGCCACAAGGTCTGGAACTGATAAGGGAGCCATGGCCACCAGGGAGAGTCTGTACCTGCCCTCATCTAACTCCTGCCCAGCCTTTCCTCTCATTCTGCTGAGCTGCTCCATATCCTGGAACCAGGCCCCAAATCGCTCCTCAGGCTCAAGATTGTAATGATTTGCAGCCCCCCCCCCTCCCCCGCAGCAGCAGATCGCTCTCATTACTTTGTATTCAGGGACAGAGGGAAAGACAGGCTGCAGGTAGGGCATGGTGGGGGGATGCTGCAGGGGCCTTAGGAGTGAGGACTAAGGCAGGGGGCCAGGCCTGGGCCTCCGCACACATGGGAACCCTCCTTCCCTCCAATTCCATCCAGGTCCTAACTGTTCTCAGGGATGGGTGTGAAGAGCCCCTCTTCCAGCACGTTGTCCTTGGTACCAGCCCCTACTTCTCTGTTCTCAAACTCTCCCAATAAATGTGAAGCGCAGGGGATGGAGCATGGAGTGTCCTGCCCAGGGGGGTTCCACTTTCCTCCCCTTCCCCGAAATGAGTGCCACAGCTACTCACCTTACTCTTTTTCTGGAGGTTGATCTGATTCCCTCGGGAGAGAAACAGCCAAAGTCCATCAGAAAGAGCCTCCTAGCTAGTCCATAACTAGTCCCCCATCTTCCCTCTTTCTCATGTTGCGGTACCACAAGAGCCCTCAAGGGGGCAGGGCACACACAGAAAACAGGTCTGGGATCTAGGCCCGACTCTGGGCTCCAAAGTTGGGGGGATGTGGGAGCTGAGGCTCTTCTAGCCCAAGTCTTTCTGATGGCAGGTGGGGAAACTGAGGCCTCAGACAGGAAGGGACAACTCTGCAACTTATGTGCCGCCCAACTTGGAGGACCCTGACACTTCTCTCCGCTGTGGGCATCGCCTGAGGGAGAGGCTGAGCCATCTCGGACAAAACCTCCTGCACCTTTGCGTTCAGGCAGCTCTGCTGCTTCATGAGTGCCACAGCTACTCACCTTACTCTTTTTCTGGAGGTTGATCTGATTCCCTCGGGAGAGAAACAGCCAAAGTCCATCAGAAAGAGCCTCCTAGCTAGTCCATAACTAGTCCCCCATCTTCCCTCTTTCTCATGTTGCGGTACCACAAGAGCCCTCAAGGGGGCAGGGCACACACAGAAAACAGGTCTGGGATCTAGGCCCGACTCTGGGCTCCAAAGTTGGGGGGATGTGGGAGCTGAGGCTCTTCTAGCCCAAGTCTTTCTGATGGCAGGTGGGGAAACTGAGGCCTCAGACAGGAAGGGACAACTCTGCAACTTATGTGCTGCCCAACTTGGAGGACCCTGACACTTCTCTCCACTGTGGGCACCGCCTGAGGGAGAGGCTGACCCATCTCGGATAAAGCCTCCTGCACCTTTGCGTTCAGGCAGCTCTGCTGCTTCGCCAGCCTGGGAACTGGGATGGGTGTCTATGGGGAGCCTCCGTTCATTTGCCCTCAAGATGGGCATGACGCCCAAGCTCATACAGGCAGCTGAGAGGGTCCCCAGTACAGGAGAGGGAGGGGGCGCTCTCTTCTACCAAGTCTCAGGGTCCTGGTGCCGCTCTCCTGCCCCCAGACTGACCTCCAGCTAATCCTCCATCACAGTGTCCAGCGTCACCAGATCAGTGAGGAGCGGGCCAAGGAATAGGATGACACCCTGTGCCACTGGGGTGGGAATGGTGATGAGCCCCAATTTTCAGGTGCTGCCCTGATAGCCTCCCCTGAAGACTCCTCACCCTCAGCCTCCTGGCCCACCCCAGGGTTCCCATGTGGAGCAGCCTCCCCTCAATCCCCCTCCCTCGCCCTCCAAGAACACCAGATTGCTCCTAATCACCACCCAGGGCCTCCTTTGACAAGTCACAGGATCTGTGGTCCCAGGTTCCTCCCTCCCCCCAAATCCATCCTGCACCCAGCTCTCCAGGCCCCCTCCTACCAGTCACTTCTGGGGGAGGGTTCAGGCACTGTGGCAACAGGAGGCAGGGCTGCAAGAGGAAGGCCCCCTTTCAAGGCCTCCAGCTGGGAGGGAGGAGCCCCTCTCCTCTGGCCCTGGAGCCCCTCCCCCACAGGCACACTCCCCTGCCCCTGCTGTTCCTCTTCTGGGCTCTCTAGGGATCATCTCCAGGATAGCTTGGTGGGCTGCTCCTGCCAGGATCCAGGACGGGGTCACTGAGGCCATACTCCACCCCATTTCCCACCAGAACCCCTAATCTTGGGCCCTGGACACCTGACCCAAGTCAGTTGGTACCAGTGCTACTCCATGCGCCAGGGTGCTCGGATTCTAGCACAATCCCAGCTTGAACACTCACCCCGCAAGGCCTTGGGCCCGTGGTCTGACCTTGAGCCTATTTTCTCATCTGGAAAGTGAGACTTCACCTCCTCACAGGGTTTCCTGAGGACTCTGTCACCTTACTGTGGTCATCGCCCTCCCCTACACCCCCAGGCAGAATGGGGCCCAAAGCCTGCACATTCCTTTCCTCCCTTAACCTCACCACCACCCTGCCCCCAGGATCGTCACCCTTCTTTCAGATGAGGAGTCAGAGGCCCTGTCCCAGCTGCCTTACCCCACCCGGCCCACACTAATCAGAGTCCTCTCCTCTGGGCTCTCAGTGTGTAGCTAAGCCCCCAGCCCGGCTGAACCATAAATGGAAAGGGGTGGGGCGTTTCAGAGCCTGGTTGAGCCCCACTGGGGTCTCTGCCCCCCAGCCTGGGCCCAAGGCCATGCCAGAGGCTTCACCTCGCAGAACGTTCCCCTGCACAGCTTTCTTTATCCACTCAGGAAGGGGACTCCAGAGGAGCCCTCTCTGACGGACAGGGTCAGGGATGCCCAGGGCACAGCATATAAATGCTGTGTTTCCTCTTTTACACGAAGCTTCTGATTTCTATTCAGAAAGGATCCAGTAAGAATCCATCAGTTCCCCAGACTCTTAAAATCCATCTAGGGCAGTGGTCGGCAAACTCATTAGTCAACAGAGCCAAATATCAACAGTACGATTGAAATTTCTTTTGAGAGCCAAATTTTTTAAACTTAAACTATATAGGTAGGTACATTGTTATTAACTTAATTAGGGTACTCCTAAGCTGGCCTTTGCTAAAAACGTCCTCAATCTGATTGAGGTATAATCAGGATTTTAAAAAGATTCCCAGGTGATTCTAATGTGCAGCCAAGGTTGAGAACCACTGATCTAGGGCATATATCATTG